GAACATGTGACATTAAATATCAGAGGTGGAGATCGACTTAGACAGCTGAAACAGCGAAAATACATACATTGAATGCTCTCTCATATGCTGGTCTTAATGAAGATATAGATTTTTCTCCATTCCTTTAATTGTCAGATTTGTCGGTGGTTTTTCTTTTATTTTTATTTGCTCAATTGTGACATATGTAGCATTTAGTTTAACCATATTATTTTGGGATTGTTTGTGAGTATATTGTATTTTTCACTTTTTTATTCTTGGGTTGTATATGAAAGTTTTTTGGACTGTTTGAGAAATTAGTGAACTCCCAAGAGACATCTAGTGGTCAGATCCTGAAAATGTATAGTCACAGGTGTATCTATTTAGCTACTTCTTATTCTCTATTGTCTCACACCTTGACGAAGGCCTGCTTGGGATGATACACGTTGGTGTCTTTTTAAAATGTAGCCTTGTCTTAGAATAAAGAATAAAGGCTTTGCTGACTATGTGAGTGCATGGACGTGGATTTTTTTTATTTTATTTATTTATTTATTTTTTATTTTATTTTTATATTAATTACAATTTTATTAATTCAGTTTAATCTTGTTTGCATTATTTATTTATACAGTTTTACAGTTTTTCAGTAAACTTTTACACAGACCTGCTAACTTTGTGGCCCCCGGGGGTCCCCAGACCCCTGTTTTTAACCCACTACCATAAAGTATATATTCTTTTTTCAATTTGAGGTTCAAATGTTTCAGTAACCACGTACGTCCAAAATTTAAATACATTTCCTTTTCACCTGGGCTGCTTGACTACAGCAGAAGTGAAACTGGTCAAACTGGTCTGTGATCATGTAACCAATCAAACAGAGACACTGGGAGTGTGGGCTGAAAATCCCATTTGCATTGTCAGGGTGGAGTGATTGTGATCCTCTCAGAATAGAGCAGCTCTGTCTCCAGAGACCATGTTCAAACCCCAAGAGCTTTATTTGACTAGATTTACTGCTACTGATCGAGCTTCTGAAAAGCACCTGGACAAACACTACATGCATCTTCATCTGTTAGTTGAATGATGTTGTCAGACACAAATGGAGCTTGTTGAGAAGCTTTATTGAATGTTGCAGCAAACACAGCAGATTGAAAGATCAGCCAGTGCTTTGACACTAGAGCTCTCTTTCAGTATTGAGTTGTAAATGACTACAGCTGCAGCACTAGACTCATGTGAATCCTGCCTGACACAGGACACTCAGATACGCTCATCTTCAGGAGAGAGCAGCGCTCACTGGAGAAACATCAGCACTGCGAGCGACTAACAGAGACTCTTGTGGAACGAGGCCTCATGAGGAGCTCCATCATGTGTTACTCTGCAGACGTACAGCTCTCCCTCTTCCCAGCGTGCTTTGCTGAGGGTCAGGACGCTACTGCGGCTGTAGCGGCCGTCCTGCTCGCTCTCTGCGCTGGTCACAACCCCCTCGGTGACCTCTGAGCCGTCCAGTGTCCAGCTCACCAGCGCCCCCTGTGGAGAGTAAGAGCTGAGCAGGCAGAGCAGTGCGGCTGAGTCTCCAGAGATCTGCAGAGAAGAGGGCGGCAGCAGAGACACTGAGGGCTTCACTGTGGGACCAGCTGCAGGAGACAAACACAACACATTCACAAACACAGAGAAAACACAAACACTACATACATTTCAATGAAATCTCACAAATGAAACAAAAACTTATTAAGATATTTACTGCTTTAATCCCAGTAGTTTCTATATCCCTAAATACTGTCTTTGCATTTTAGTTAAGTGAGATGTTTAACTCAAAACTCAATTTCAAACAGAGATTGTGTGACTACAAATTATGTCACTGGAATTACAAATTAAATAGAGTTATATTTTTCTATAAACTCTGCTTGTATTAAAATGCGCTGAATTATAAGCACAACATGAGCAAAAGAGATTCAAAATCATTGATTAATCTATAGAAAGTAGCTCCATTTACATTTTAAATTATATATTTTTCATTTAATCTCTTTTTTCTATGTATAATATACATGTGATAAACTAATAAAATCAAGAGTGAGCCACACAATTTTAGATTAAATATTTACTGTAAAACTATATTTATAAAATGTGCAACACTTTGCAATAAGGTTCATGAGTTAACGTTAATTAATGTGTTAATTAATATTAACTAACAATGAGCAATACATTTGTTACAGTATTTATGAATCTTAGTTAACATTTATTAATAAAAGTACAACTGTTCATTGTTAGTTCATGTCAACTCAGGTCCATTAATATTAGCAGATAAAACTTTGGGTTTTAATACTGTATTAGTAAATGTTGCAATCAAAATGAGATTGACTGAGATTAATAAATGCTTTACAATAATTTTTCATTGTTAGTTCATGTTAACTAATGTAGTTAACTAATATTAACAAAT